CGACAGAAGGTCTTACAAATCCTCTCTCGAAGAAAGAGTCGGGGAAACCTGCTGCTTCCTCAGAACTTGAATCAGTCTCGTCCATCCCTTCAGAAGTTTCGGTCACTTCACTATCAAACTCTTCTTCACTATCCGTTGGGCGGGCCGGTTCCTTTCCTTTTCTCGAGGATTCAGCAGATTCTTTTCCTCGAGTCGACACCATAGCCTCACGAGTCGCCTCTGTCGCTTGCCGCGGAGCTGCCTCTTCCTCTGAATCTGATACTCTCCTACGTCGAGTGACGATATTGGCGGCTATCAACCACTTGCAATACAAGAAGGTCATCCGTAAAGGCGCCACTTCTAAAGGGAGATCAAATTCAACACTGGTGCAGCCGGCAATACTCCAAAACCAAGCTCTTGCCCCGTCAATAAGTCCACCTCGAAAGCTAAGGTGACGATTCGGGTTGCCGATATAAATTTGGTCATAGCCGAATTGACGGGCAAATCGACATGGAAGATAGGGCTCAATGTGGCAAACGTCCCTTACCCTGAACAACAGATATCCAGGTCGGATATTCATCAGCCATCTGAAGCATCCGACATCTAGAACGGTACGGTTCTGCCTCGGGTCTTCAGCATCCAATAAAGTTGTGTTGTAAGTACCGGAGAACCGAGGGAAGCAAGGGAAGAATTCCCAACACTTGTGAATTTTAAACTGCCTTGTGATGTCCGACCATTGATGTTTGATCCATTTGCAACCCTCAAGGATCTGTAAAAGAGGAAGACTAGGATCCACCGTCTCAGGAGCTTCCATTAAATCTGGCCGGTGCAGAACCAACCATGTCATCAAATAAGTGTAGGGTAATTCTAGTTTCGGAACAGATATACTGGCAGAGGGTTTCTTTTTCTCTTGCGTGAATGCGGAAACTAACTGCCGTAACCCACTGTGAATAGCCGCCACCATAGCAGGAAGCAAGGATAATCTGCGACCTGTGGCTAACTGGACGGCTGGATACAACACTTCCAATGGCATAGCATCAGAGGATTGGTGGGGAACTACACACCTTTTCAACCATATGGCCAGAAAGCCAGCTAGTAGAGTAGTGGGACGAATCGGAACACTAGCTTGCCACAGATAAGGGCGGAATTTAGTTCCGTGTGAAAACCCATCTTCTGAATGAGAAGTGTAAGATTGTGCATTTGTTTTCTCCAACAGCCGATTGATATCACCCGGGCTCAAAGGAGATAATCCACGTACCTCTTCTGATCGATCCTCCAGGTTCTTGAACAGATAATCGGCGAATTGCTTTAAGCTGACCTGGGGAGATTTCTTCCTAGCTTTGGTTTCCATCTCAGCCATAGCTATATGATAATGACAAGTCAGCTCCCATAAAGTCTCGTGGGTCACAGATGACCGATCCTTCATCTTATTAAGCTGACTGGTGGTTGGGAAGAACTCTTGATATGGAACATCGCCTATGGGCAAGCCAGACACCTTCATCATTTCGTGCAATGGTAACCCGAGCTCCCCGTTCTTGGTGAAGAACGTATTAGTGTCAGGATTGTAGATTTCGAACAAACGGAGGAAATGACCTATACTAATTTGCAGACCATGCATGCTGGCACGGATCGGGACTTCCAACCCTAATTCTGCTAATTCTCGCCCCCAACGGTTCAACACATATCGAGTCATTCTGGTCCACCACCATTTGTCCCCAGAATAATGGACCCATCCATAACATCTGAAGCTCTCGTGGGATGCCCAGATGATATCCCCGCACAGAAGCTCTTTCACTGGAACCTGGGGTGGCTTCCTTCCTAATGAAACCACAATGAATACGTTCGTGGTTTTCGGTTAACCTCCAGAACATCTCACGTCCAACCGATAAGTTCCTGAACTTTAACAGTGAATGCTCTCGAGGGATAAAAGGCAAGTACAAGAATGACGAACCATCCTCGTGTAACCCCTGCGCAGGCTTGCAGAAAGCAATCACCGGACCCTTTATGGAGTCACCAAATAAGAAGTCTGGTTTCCTCATACATTGGTTTGAGTCCTGCTCTGAAATTAAGGTTGCGTCCGTGATTAACCGTCGTAGGATACGACAGATCCCTCGCTGAATCAACTCTCGGGCCCCTTCACTATAATCTGACTTGAACTGGGGAGCGGACTCGATTAATGGTAACCCCTCATAATAAGAGTGAGTGGCACTACTCTGGCCCGTGACTGCATCGACGGTGAAGATTGTGGAAGGAAAATGGACTGATACAGGAGATACACATAAGCTGTGTAAGTATAGTCCTAAAATTTTAGAGAAAACGGTATATCTTACTTCATAAGATATAGTCGCTATATCACAACAGGTGTGACGATTTTCCATCTACCACATGTATAAAGGAGATATGCGTTACTATGCACGGGCATTATAACGGCATATCGAAACCTTTCAACACACGTGGGATGATATGAAATCGCCCCTGTGTATTATGAAGTGTGTTTTGTCCAAGCAAAACAAACACTTTTAAGCGTCGATCCCCTCAAAGGAGGATACCGGCTCTTCTCGAGGGTATCTCAAAGGATACAAACGAGGATCTGCATGCAAATACAAGTACATATATATGAAATTAACGAAATACAGTATTTAAATTCGTGAAAGGGTGAAAGAAACGTACCCCCTTGCGAAGCGGTAACAGGAGCAGCCTCTTCAGGGGACTGAGCAGTCGAACGGCCTCAGGAACCTCTGGATCGACGCGGCGACATGATGAGTGCACAAACTACATTGAAACCCAATAAGAAAATTAGGGTTTCGGGCTCAGAATCAACAAGGATAACACTCAAATACATCATAATATGCGCCAGAAACATTGCATGCAAAGTCACAGTCAAGGAAAGTTGAGATTTTTAAAGAAAGAGAGTGAACAAACCTTCAAAATCCGAGTAAAGTCTCCCCCAAACAACAACCCCACTCAAATCAGAAACGAAGAGAGCAAAGGGAAGCCGAGAACTTGCAGAAAAAAGTCGGAAAATCATCGGAGAATCGCCAGAAATCACCCCAAACCCGACGTGAAAAGATCAAAAAACCCTAAGTCCGACTTATATACTGACTGTCTCGCAGCGCGAGACAGAAAACTCTGTCTTGCTGAGCGAGATAGAAAACTCTATCTCACTGAGCGAGACAGAAAACACTGTCTCGCACTGCGAGACAGAAAACTCTGTCTCGCTGAGCGAGACAGCAAACCTTTCTGTCTCGCACTATGAGACAACAAACACTACCTCATAGCAGGAGACAATGGATATTTGCTTAGTCAAAAGCCCAAATGCGATACAGAGGGATACTCCAATGGGTACACGAGTCTAAACTGTTTTCCTACATTCGACGGGAAGTTTCTGGAGAATATT